CTTGTTTTCTTATAGAACCCAGGACCACCAGCCCAGGGATGGCACCACTCAGAGTGGGCTGGGCCCTCCCCCATCAATTACTAATTGAAAAAATGCCCTACAACTGGATCTTATGGAGGCATTTTCTCAATTGAGGTTCCCTTCTTTCAGTTAACTCTAGCTTGTGTCAAGTTGGCATAAAACTGTCCAGCACAGCTGGCTTTTCTTCAGTACACCTGGCTGACTGACTTACATTCACAGCGCAGGTCTTAGTGTTACAGGTTTTGCTGGCCCCAATCCCTTATCCGAGCCTCTTGGATCACTTTGGGAATAACAAATTACATTCAAGTCTCTGACATGGGCTGGGCTGGGGTCCTGATCTAAAACAGGTTGTCCTGTCCTCTGTGATGTGTGACAGCTGGTTGACTTCAGCCTCGTGCTGACCCTACATGACCAGGGCCAGATCCTGCCCAGGCTAATATGTAATGATGGTGAGTGACCCCTGGAACAGCAAAGCTCAGAGGGATCCAATATCTTGTCAAGATATTAACAGCTGACACCATGGGGAGTTGGTCAACCTCCCTGTAAGCCAACCTCCCCCTGCCCAAGACCATACTCTCACCCCTTGCCTCCTCTAGTATCTGCTGTCTGCTGGCTGGCTCCTCTTTGTATTGTAGCACGAATCTTGAAAGGTCTTATTAATAAAAACAAACCCAGTGCCAGGTATTGGGGTGAATGCTGGAAGATCAGAGAAACAGAACAAGCTACAGCTAACCTCACCTGGCCAGTTCTTCAGCTGATCCTATTTCCTCAGACTGGAAGCCTCTGAGTCCTTATCCAAATGGATCTCAGCTAAACTGCTTCTCCAAGGCCTGAAAGCTTAACCAGCTCTAGTTCCTGGTCCTCGTGCCTTATATACCTTTCTGCCATCACTTCCTGGGATTAAAGGCGTGTGTCACCATGCCTGGCTGTTTTCAGTGTGGCTTTGAACTCACAGGGCAGATGGATCTCTGCTTTAGGAATGCTAGGATTAAAGAGGTGTGTGCCACCATTTTCTGGTCTCTGTATCTAGTGGCTGTTCTGTTCTCTGACCCCAGATAAGTTTATTTATTATTATATATTTTTGGGAATACAGTATCACCACATTTCCCCTTTTTTTGTCTAAAATTTAAAGCTTATAACTAATACAAGAAAAACTATATCAAATAAGTATATACAATATATACAGTCAAGAATTAAATTAACAATGTCCAGTCCATTAACATTTGACAAATTCAGACAAAAAATTTTCATTATTTATCCTATTTAAATAAGTAGTTCCTTTTGTAAAAGTAGATTCAATAATTGACCTTTTTATCTTACCTTTGTATGACCATAGATAAATGGAAAAGACCTCAGGGTGGAGACCGCAGAAAGCCGTGCTCTGAAACACGTTCCTGCCTTTTATCTTGCTGCCGAGGCAAGGCCTGAGTTTCACACCCAGAACACATTGAAAATGCCAGGTGTGGTAGAGCACACTTGTAATCCTACCACGGGGGAGGCAGAGACAGGAGCATCCCTGGGACTTGCTGGCTGCCAGGCTGGTTCCGGGTTCAGAGAGAGACCCTGTCTCAAGGGAATAAGGTGGAGAGTGAAGGAGCAAGACACTCAGCATCCCACTCTGGCCTCTGTGCACACACACATGCATGCAAGCACACACACACGGAAGGACAGAGCCACACTGGAGCATGGCTCCATGGTAGAGCACTTGCCCAGTGTGTATGAGGCCCAGGCTTCCATCCCTCACCCAACTCCCAAAGCCAAAGGATTCAGTATTGAGTAAGGAACTTCCTTCTTCCATTTTCCTTGGGAAAAAAAAAAGGCATATATGTGAATTCTGGGAGGTTTGAAAAGATGAGGTTTTGTGATACAGAAGGTATTTCTAAACTGCTGCTGGCCATGAGCTGGGGAGGATTTGAAGAAAGTACTGAGGTAGGCTCCTGGTGTTCCAGGGGATCTCTGAAGTGATGCCCTCAAGGAGGAAGAAGAGAAGGGAAGCCAAGGCTTGGTCTGCCCTTACCAGGGCCCATCAGTGCCTCCTGCCCAGTGAGGCCAGGAAGACAATGACATTTGTGGAAAGTGTCCCTGTGACTTTCTGTCAGGCATTTTCACAAGGGTACCATGGGAAACAAAGCAAAGTGGAAGCCAGTATGTGAGATCCTGCGGAGTCCCGACCCCACCTTCTGAGGAGCCGGGCTTATGACAGGCTGCAGAGGCAAGGCAAACAAGGGTCCCCACAACCAGGCTGGGTCTGACCTGCAGTTACAGCCTCAGCTGGTGAAGACAAAGGAAGAGCAAGCAGAAAGGCACAATGGTGGTGTCTACAGCGGTGCGGATGAAGATGGTCGCAGCTGTGATGACCGTAGTGATAACAGCTATGGTGAAGGTGACCGTGGTAGTGATGGTCATAGTAATGGTGGTGGCAATGGTGGAGATGGCTATAGTAACAATGGTGAGTCATGACAGCAGTTATGGTGATGATGGTGGAGATGGTGGTGATGTCTACAGTAACGATGGTGATGACAGCAGTTATGGTGATGATGGTGGAGATGGTGATGGTGGTGATGATGGTGGTGGTGTGGTGGTGTGGTGGGGGGTTGGGGTGGTGGTGGGGGGGTGGGATGGATGATAGTGGTGATGACAACGATGGAGATGAGAGACTGTCACAATGACCCTTTTTGGTGGAGATGGTGATCGTGGTGTAAGCAAACGTTCGTTTGTCCATTATCTCATTTAACCTTACCACATTAAATGAAAGACCCCACCTTGGAGACAAGAAAGGGGCAGGACCTGGTAAGATCATGTGGCAGCCAGCCTAGCTTTGGTTTCCTTCATGGGAGCCCTAGGCTGGGAAAGTGAACCCAGCATCAGTCCTGGTCCTGTGAGGAACAGGTGTCACCCCATCCAAACAAGTTGAGTGAGACTCCCCAGAGAGCAGCCATCGTCTAAGGCTGCCTGCCTTTCTTCCCAAGGGCCTTCTCCTCACGGACCTGTTCATCCTTGAGGAGACTGAGGAGACAGGCACCAAGCCCGGTAAGCTCAGCCTGGGGCTGGGAGGTGCTGCAGTCCCGGGTGTGACCACCAGGTGGTGGTGGAGCAGCCGCACCGCGCCCTGCCCCCAGCAGCCCTAGAAAAGCAGAAAATACAAATTAAAAATTCTTTGGCCTGGACGTGGAAGTCAGCTGGAGATTCCGAGAGCCTTCTGGCAAATCCGGGAGGTTTGACCTTCTGCTAGCAAATCCTGGAGGAGTCCGTGACAGGCAAAGGGCAGGGAAGGAGTTGGAAGGGAAATGAATCCCCACCCCCCATGCTTTGGCTTTCTGCCTCCTGGAACCTAGACTCTCAGCACAGCAGAATCCCCAGAGGCTGGGGGCAGGGCAGTGCAGGCGAGAGACCAGCCGTGGTCTTTGATGTATGCTCAGGTTTGCAAACATTGCTCTGTTTCACAGACTGAAAATCAGAGGGACAGGGAGGCGAGGCCATGCTCAAGGTTAACGCCAGGATACCAGATCCTGTGGTTGGGCCTGGCCTACCCCTCTCCCACCGCCTCTCATGGGTTCCTCTGGTCTGGTTACCCCGTCTCTCTGGATCTGCTATTGCTGACAGCACAGTGAGCTCGCATGCTAAGGCAGAGCCAGGGAGTCCCACATAGCTCCCCCAGCCCTCTAGGGAGGTTCCTGAAAGTCCAGGGTCCTCACCCGCGCATAATTCTCTCTCTAAAACCTACTCAGACACTTCCCTCTGCTACCCAGAGAGGTGACTTGGGGCCTGGCTGAGATTCTGACCCACATCCTGTATTCCGGACCAGCTGGGGGCCACTCAGGCACTGCCCACGCGACGTCTAGGAGAGCTCAGGCTTTGGTGCCTGGTTCGAATTTGAGCCCTACTGACCTTGGTCAAGTTGCCTGCCCTCTCTGAGCCTTGTTTTCTTGTTGGAGGGAGTTAACACCATTTCTGTCCTGGGCTGCTCTGAGACGTGGATAAGGGCACAGAGCACAGCTCACAAGGTGAATCTGGGAGCAGAGGACGGCTGTCACCACGGGGCACAGCTCAGGGCCACAGCTCAGATGCTGCACTCGGGTCAGGCTGGCTTCATCCCCACAGGGGACACGGGAGAGGGCCTGGCTTTGGGTGAGCACAGAAATGGCGAGGTTCCACACATGCGCATCCACTCGGGCCCTCGAGTGACTTCGGAGAGATTCTGAGAAACGAAAGCCACGGGTTCCATCCTAAAGATTCCAGTCTGATAAAGAGCCCCAGAAAAAAAAAGAGCTCTGGATGGGGTCAGGTGGGTAAAGGGTTTTGCCTGGGGACCTGAGTTTAATCCCTGGAACCCATATGATGGGGGGAGAGCACCAACCCTGTGGTCTGTCCTCTGACCTACACATACATTTGCACACACATCCACATGCCCCCGAATAAAGAAGCAAATACGTCACTGACCAGCGATTGCCGGCATCAGCCACTGAGCTGGCTGGGCTCAAGTGAGGACCATGGTTTTCCGATTGGACAGCCCTATGCCAAGAGTTTGGAAGGGTCTAAAGTCCCTGAGTGAGAAGAGTCAGGGATCGAAGCCCAGGCTGAGGGTGAACACTGACTGCCCCCAGGTAATCAGTGGCAGTAGCCAGTCCCTCCATGGCTGTGACTCAGTAACACCTTTGCCCTGGAGGTTGGAAAAATCTGTTTGACTTTTCCCTCTTGGTACCAGAGAAGCCAGAGAGGGCTCAGGCCTCCCCATCCTGACCTGGTAGCAGCCTGGCCATCCAGGCAGCTTGGTCCAGTGAGTCCTCTACCTGACGTCCACTCTCCAGTGTTGGGACATCCCAGTGATCACTCCTGGAAACAAGACAAGGAGACATTTATCCTCCCACCCACCCCACCCCAGTCTCCACCAGCAGAGCAAGGAGGAGCTTGGGAGCACTTGGCATCCATAAGGACCAGCAGGTCTCAGCAGGCCCCGACGGCTAGGATCAGGTCTACTCATGGCGTTTGAGGAGCTTCTGGCCAGGGCTGGGGGTGTGGGACTCTTCCAGGTCCTGCAGATCTGCATCTTGCTTCTCCCTGCCCTCTTGGCACCTTTTCACATACTTCTGGAGAATTTCTCAGCCGCTGTCCCAGGCCACCGCTGCTGGACCCATGTGCTGGACTCTGAGGTGCCCACTCACCTGACCCACGAGGCCCTCCTGGCCATCTCCATCCCACTTGGCCCCAACCTGCAGCCTGACCAGTGCCGCCGCTTCCGCCATCCACAGTGGCAGTTCCTGGACCCCAATGCCACAGCTGCCAACAGGAGTGAGGGCGCCACAGAGCCATGTGTGGATGGTTGGGTCTATGACCACAGAACCTTCACGTCCACAGTTGTAACCAGGGTAAGGATCCCCAGCGCTGGCCTGCACAATTTGCTTCCTCCCGAGCCTTGCATGACCAACAACTGTTAAAGTGTTATACAGGGCTGGGAGATGGTTCTGCAGGTAGACTGCTTGCTGAAGACCTGAATCCAAGCCCTCAGCACCCATCTCTAAAGGGGGAGGTGTGGGCAGTGCTAAGGGGACAGAGACAGGAAGATCTCTGCGGCTCACTGGCTAGCCTGTCCAACCGAATCCGTGAACTCCAGCTTCAGTGAGAGGCCCTGTCTCAAACTATAAAGTGAAGAGTGATTCAGAAAGATACCTATTGTCAGCTTCAGCCGTTACACACACATATGTACCCCCCCACACATGCCATGCACACACCAACACATAAAACAGTTATCCAGTTTTCCAATGTGGGAAGGCAGATTCGACCTCTCCACAGGGATTGAAACCGTCAGGTAGAGATGCTGACCGGCTGTGGGGGTAAGAGATGGGCCCCTACTCAAGACAAAAGCGCAGTCACAGCTAGGAGCCTGGGAGGGTCAGAGGGAGAAAATGGCAACTTTGGAGGCGGCTGGCTAAACCAGGATTCTCACCGAGACAGAGTGGGATGTTCTTGCTGAACAGTCTAAGCAGGGTCCTTTAACAAAACTGGAGTGTACAAGAACACAGACAGATCTAGGAATAGTTTGCTCAAGTAGAGAGAGGCCGGGGAGAGAGAGTGTGTGTGCACACGCGCATCCATGAACAGGTAAATATGGATATGCACGTATGTGCACGTGGAAGCTGGAGGTCAACCTTGGGTCATTCCTCTAGAGCCATGCACCTTTTAAAAAGTGTGTGTGTGTGGTTTGTGTGTGTGTGGTTTGTGTGTGTGTGTGTGGTTTGTGTGTGTGTGTATGTGGTGTGTGTGTGTGTGTGTGTGTGTGTGTGTGTGTGTGTGTGTAAATGTCTATGTGCAAGTGCCTACACACACCTGCAGAGTCCAAAGGTGTCAGGTGTCTTCTGTCATTGCCTGTCCCTGTGAGGCAGGGTTTCTCCCTGAACCTGGCCTCACATTTTCTCAGCTAGGCCAGAAGTGAGCAAGCCCTAGAATCCTTCTGTCTTTGTTCCCCTCAGAGCAGGGGTTCCAGATGCCTGACTTATTATATGGGTGGGCATCTGAATGCTGGTCCTCACAAGGGGCTCTTAACAACCTGAGCCATCTCTCCAGCCTCCACCTTGTTTTGTGAGATAGAATCTCCCTGGCGTGGGACAGCAGGCTCCCAGACTTGCCTGGCCAGAGAGTCCTCCTGTTAGGATTCCCACCCCCATGTTGGGATGATAAGCATGCACCCCCATGCCCAGCTTCTTATGTGGGTTCTGGAGACTGAAGTCACATCTTTCGGCTTCTCTGGCAAGCATGTTCCTCTCTGGACCCTTCCCTCAAGTGGAGGATTTTATCATCTGGCTTGTACTTCTGATGGCTTATGGCGACCCACGTTCAGATGTAGGGAACCTTGAGGACCCAGGCTGACCAGCTCCTGGCAGAAGACCCTCCACTCAGCCCTCCACCAGTCACCCCCTCCATGGAACATGGAAACTGTCAGGCTTCTCTCTCTTCCAGTGGGACCTGGTGTGCAGCTCCCAAAGCCTGAAGGCCCTGGGCCAGGCCATCTTCATGGCTGGGACCCTGGCAGGAGCCCTTGTCTGGGGATCTCTCTCCCACTGGTGAGTATCTCCTCTCCTCCTGGCTCGCCCAGGACAGAATAGCTCTCTGGGAGCGGAAGGCATGAAGGTGTTAGGCACACTCCCGAGTTCTCAAACAGAGGTGGCTTCCTCTCCGGTCACCCACATGTTGCCACTGAGCCCCAGGGGACTCAGACCTGGATGCCTGATGCCAAAGCCATATTCTTAACCACAAGTTTGTACTGACCCTGAGAGCAAGATACTAGCATTTGAATAACAAAGCCTTTCATGTTTCCAGAAGTTTCTAGAAGCTCTGAGAAGGTGAAGCTGGCTGCACTTGTCTCCCTTTGTCAGGCCTCAAGCAGGTGTCACCTGCCCTGCGTGGGGCCCCCAGGGACACCCCGACACCCCACTTGTTCATCCTCACAGGTTGGGGCGAAAGTCGATGCTGCTCTGGTGCTATCTTAAAGTGGCTGTGGCTGCTGCTGGCGCCATCTTGGCTCCCAACTTCTTCATCTACTGTGGCCTTCGGTTCCTGAGTGCCTTTGGGCTGGCTGGTATCATTATGACCCAGGCCACACTGAGTAGGTACCCTGGAAGCCTTCGCTCTTTCTCCTGCCCTAGAGTAGAAGGGGCCTCTGCATCACCTTTCAGTGGCTGAGTGGACCACAATCCGCAGGAGGGATGTTACCATGACGATCTTGGGCTACACTTACAGCACAGGCCAGATGGCCTTGGCAGGCCTGGCCTTGGCCTTGTGGGACTGGCGAAACCTCCAGCTGGCTGTGTCCATCCCCTTCTTGGCCATATTCCTGCTGTCCTGGTCAGTACACTGGGGTCTCTTTTCATGGGAGACCCGTTGAGGGAGTGAGTCTTCCTGTCTCACCCTCTAACTGGTCACATCCTGCTGGGACCCACAGGAAGACAAAGACGCTCATCATTTGGAGTCCCTGAGTGAATGCTTTGGCCAGAAGCCTGTGGTTCCTGCCAAGTGGGGACCACACAGTGTTGACCTGAGAGGAGACATTACCAACACTTAAAACCAGGAGATCTTAAAACCAGAAACAAGTAATGCTCGCCCCTTTTCTTGGAAAATGAGAAGGTCCTGGGTCCCACCAGGCAGGGATGGGGTGGAAGCAGGGTAGCCTTCTGTCCTCTGGGCTGGGGCTGACCCATCCTCCTTTCATGCGGGCACTGTCCCCGACCCCAGCCTGACCCTCGCAGGGCACTTGGCATCCAAGTCTGCAAGGACCAGTGTTAGAGATGAGACTGTGGGTTTCATTGTTACTTTTAGAGTCCTGCAAACATCTGGAGACCCTTGCTTGGGTGGGGCCTGTGGGGAGGGACAGGAAAGCCAATACAAATGAATGTCACTGTGGTTCTCTGGCACCCACAGACTGGAACCAGTCAGTCCAGGCCCCAGTCAGACACTTGTAGGGTGTGGAGGACTACATTCATTTTTAAATAGGACTGAGTTCCTGCCTCAGGCCAGATGTGGTTCCAGGCCCTGAAGACACACAAGGAACTAAAACAGACTAACGTCACCCACAGCATAGTGTTTCCATTCTGTGATGAGCACTGATAAACAAAGAAGACAGCCATGGCATGATGATGTATCATGCTACTGGATGACAAGTTACAGGGACTTGGTACATGGACGGTGTGGTTTGTGACACTGGAGGTGTGACCACACATTTACTGATAAGATATTGAGTGCCTCTGTTTGCAGGTGAGGGTTCATCATTTGTCCCAAACCAGACAGGCTGGTAAAAACCAGAGGCAGGATTTGAACTTGGGCAGGCAGGTTTGTTCTATTTTTTTACTTTTTTATTCAGGATGAGACTGAAGGGCCACTGTACCACTGACTTATATTTTGGGTTTCTTTTTACTTTTTTTATTTTGAAACAAAATTGCCCCAGCTGGCCTGAAACTCACTACACGGCCCAGGCTGGCCTTGTGAACCTACAGCTTCAACCTTCTGAGCAGCAGGACCACAGGCCTGTGCCACGGACTTGGCCAGCTTAGCCACTCTGCCAGACTGCCTCAAACAGGCAAACCCAGTGTCTTTGACCAGAGAAATGCTCCCCCAGGATAGCAGCCCTTAAGATTGGGGACAAGCAGACTGGCTTTATAGACTCACTTATCTCTGCCTTATGGGAATTAAACAGTAATAAAAAAAAAAAACAAAAAAAAATCAGAATAAAATAACACCAAGTCTCTCTCTCTCTCTCTCTCTCTCTCTCTCTCTCTCTCTCTCTCTCTCTCTGTGTGTGTGTGTGTATGTATGTAGGTCAAGCTTTCTTTTAGGTTTATTTATTATTTACTACCTGGGGCAGTGTGTGTGTGTGTGTGTGTGTGTGTGTGTGTGTGTGTGTGTGTGTGTCACTGTGTGTGGCGGTCAGGGAACAACTCTTCTCATCATGTGAGTCCCAGAGACTCAGCTCAGGCTGCCAGGCTTGGTCCCTTTACCTACTGAAGCGTCCCACCACCCATGTGGCCTTTCTACCACAGAACTGACCTCAGAGTCCCTGGAGAGACAGCTTCTGTGTCCCCGAAGTCTTTACATAGACTAAATACGGAGCTCCCGCATCAAGGGAGGCCAGGTGGGGGCATCCCAGAAAAGAAGAGGGAGGGAGTCTGGGTGTTGGGCTCAGCTGAATTCCAAGCTTCCCAATCCTGCTTTAACAGGATTGTAAGGGAAGTTTCTCTGTGTCCCACCCAGGCCCGCAGCTGCTCAATACCAAGTAAACACACAGAGGCTTCTATTAACTACAAACTGTACGGCCTATGGCTTCAGCTTCTTGCTACCTAGCTCTTTCATCTTAAATTAACCCATTCCTATTGATCTGTGTGTTGTGCCATGACGTTACCGGTTGGCTGGCATCTTGTTGCTCCTTTGGTGGCAGCTCGAGTCTCTCTTGACTCCACCCTCTTCTCTCTGTATCTCTGCTTGGATTTCCCACCTGGCTGTAGACTTTCTTGCCATAGACCAAAACAGCTTTATTTTTATCCAATGGGAGCCACACATATTCACAGCTTACAGAAAGACATCCCACAGCAGAGGACAGATGCAAAGAACCTTCCTGTTCCTCTGTCACATCAAGTTGGGGACTCTGTTGCCCACTGTCCCCTCTGAACCAACTCAGGAGTACCCATGGTGTTCCAGGACAGCAAGGTTCTAGGCAAGTACCTGCTTCTTTGACAGGTGGCTGCCAGAATCTGCACGATGGCTGATTACCACAGGCCAACCAGAAAAAGCGCTTCAGGAACTCCAGAAGGTAGCTAGGAAAAATGGCCACAAAGAAGCCAAACAGACGCTGACCATAGAGGTGAGTCAGGAAAATATGTCCAGTAGGGTGTTATCTGTATTGCTCCCAGCTTCTACTGCACCAACATCTCCATCAAGTTTACCGAGAACATCACATAAACTTCCACCGTCATCACATGAAGTCATATACCCACCAGTACCACTATCACCACATGAATACTGTTGCTTTCACCAGTCAAAGCAAGATCACTGTCAACCCCTTCAGCAGCAGCGTTAGAACCAACACATCCCAGATCTACAGCCACCTCCTCCGCCACAGTGGATCTCCTCTTCACCACACTACCATTAGTATCACCATCAGTATCTCTACAAAACACTATCACTATAACATGTATCACTTCTGCTATCTTTATCACCACCACCACCATCATCATCACCAGGATCGCCATCATCTCTACCATATCCACCATCATCATCACGTTCACCATTGCAATCATCCCCACCCTCCCCATCATCATCACCCTCTCCATCACCATAATCTCTACCTGTTAAGGGCTATTGGGGTCCAGCCCCTAGTAGTCTCTTGTCCAGGGTCCAGGGAAGAATCTATCAACCAGCTGAGAATCTATTCTTTTTTTAAGGTTGGCAAATCAATCTATGCACACAAAGCTCATTAGTCCATTTTCTTTATCCCACTCCCAGTCTCTAGCTTTATAATTATATAGCCAAGCAATTGCAAACCTCCCCCTCCAGCCAGGTTACCAGGCCTGAATTCCTGTAAGGTCATAAAGGCAGGTAAGAATTTTCTGTGGCAGTGACTGTCAGGGTTCTTATACAACCTGAAAAGGGAGTGGTTAAAGAGGAGTCAACAGAGAGCTAATGATGGGTTAGTATATCAAAAGGGGAATGTATGTGCTCAATCTGCATCCCTAGGAGTGGTTAGATAAGAAGTTAGTGAGGCTGTAAGAAAGGAGGGTCTGAGCTAAGTTGTGCGAAGCTATTACTTAAGGTCCACCTGACATAGGCAGTGTTTCTGTGTGGAATTTACCTTAAATCAGGAGACTAGCATGTGGTGGTCTGGACTGTTATTTCTGTTAGTCCTTGAATGTGGCTAAGAGAGATATTCAATTCCAGTACTAAAAAGGGAGAAATGGATGAGCCTGAGGGAAGGAAGTCTTTCCTGAGGCTGTTCTCCAAATACCGTGAACATATATGTCCAAAGAGTGATTAGTCCACACTATTAGCAGTTCTTAGGAAAAAATCTATTGGGAAAACTATGAAGGTACACATGATTTTCATAACAGAAGACAGCTGATATATAATGAGCCAAATAGCAACAAATATTCCCTGAGATTTGGCTTCCTCTGAAGGAACTCCTTGATCCCTTCAGGTAGTGGCTTTGCCATAACCAGCTGAGTTAGGATATTTTCCTGCGGCCCATGGCATCTCCCATCCCCACTGTGTCCATCACCTCCACCATCGATGTCATCTCCACCATCATCACCATCCCAGCATCACTGCCATCATTACCGTTCCCACCATCGATGCCATCTCCACCATCATCACCATCCCAGCATCACCGCCATCATTACCATTCCCACCACCATTGCCATGCCCACCAGGCCCACTATCGCCATCACTGTTACCATCAGCACCATCACCACATCCCTACCATCACTGCCATCCCCACCATCACTACCAATAACAGTACTACTATTATCACCCGTCTCATCCATGACCTAAACCTGTGTGTCTCACACACCTGCCTCATGGACCCCTTGATGTATCCGGGGAGATAAGGTTGTTATTTGAAGCTAGCTGTTTTTAGAAAGTATGTGGAGATCCGGCAGAGGATAGAGAACATAGAGTTCTGTGGAGGCACCAGGGGGAGCTACCAGAAACAGGCCAGACAGCTAATGCCAGGCTATGAGGGCTCAAGGTGCAAGTGGACTGAACGAGCCCTTAGAGAAGGGGCCAGCTTGGCCAGGGTGGCACGCCATGGTGCCAGTCATCAGGGCTGTTTTGCCTGACAAGCAACTGTGGCCGCTCCTCTGTTCAGTTCAGGAAGCCAGGCCTGCAGGAGAGGCCACAGAGGCCAGAGGAGACCTCTGCTGCCCTTCTCAGTCACAGGTCCAGAGGCCCAGGCCAGGCTAAGCCCTCGATCTTACTCACTTAAGGACCACTATCTGGCACGGCACAGGCCTGTCACCCTAATGCTGCTCCTGTTTTCTCCCCTCCTGGAGGTGCTGACATCTAGCATGGCCAGCGAGGCAACCGAGACTCCGGGATCTGTGCTGGACCTGTTCCGTGTGCCTGTGCTCTTCCAGAGAACCTGCGTCATTGCGTTGGTGAAGTAGGATGTGCTGGTCACCTCTCTCAGAGGCACAGCTGGGGCTTGGGGGTGGTGTCCAGGGAACCCAGCACCCTCAGGTCTCCCAAGGACTGCGGAGAGACAGGAGTCCTAGTAGGCTGTTTTGACGAGGAGAAGCTGACCTGGGCATGAGTGTGTGCTGGAAGCCAGCTGAGAGGCACAGCTGGAATGGCAGCCCCTGCAGCTGGAATGGCAGTCCCTGCAGGAGACCAGGGCCACGCTCGCCTGGAAATGGACCATAGCTGAAGAGGACGCTGTTTGCCAGCCTTAACAGCTCATGGTTACAGCTAGGCCCCAGAGCGTGACAAGGGCTGAGTGTCTCCTTATAGCTCCCATTTCACAGATGGGAAAAGTAGGTCCCAGATGGGTGAGTAGTTCCTGGTGGGAGATTGTACTTGAACCCTGGCCAAGCAGCTTCCTGGTCCCCATCTATTACCCACCATGCCTTGCACAGAGAGGCCCTGCCTTGAGAAGCACTAGGGATCAGCAAATATCTCCTGTAAGCAAATTTGGTTGGCATGACATCCAAAGAGCATCTGAAAAGGGAAGATGAGGCTTGATTGGAATTTGGTTGCCAATAAAACTAAGTTGAGGCTGGGAGCGCCTGCCTATCATGCAGGAAGCCCTAAGTTCGATCCCCAGCACCACACAAAAACAGATGTGGTAGGCTAGCCTGGGCTACATGAGCCCATCACAAAACCAAAAAAAAAAAAAAAAAGACGATGGAAAAAAATGTGTCTTTTACACTATAGTTAGCCACATATCCGTTATAACCACTAATAATTTATGTCTGAACAAAGAATGGGATCAAATGCTTTTTTTGGTAATATTTCATTTTTAAGTTTTTTTTTTTTTTCTTTCTCTTGATAAATTAGAAGGAAGCCAACATTTGGACCCCATCCCCACCCCCCTAAAAAAAAAAAAACCTTCAAGGCTTCCGGGCTCTCCCAGGGGCCACAGAATATCTTTTGTTATTCAAATCAGAGCCTTTGAAATGCTAACCCTGCCATTACCCACAACTCTCTGCGGTTCCCATGGAAGGGATCGTTCTAAATCCTCCACAGTCAGTGTCCACAGAAGTCTGAAAAGATGGGACCTCTGTCACACCAAGCTTTGCTCTGCACCCGTCACCCAGGCTGTCAGCATCCACTGAGCAAAGCCACGGGGACTTGAGAGTGGAAAGGAATCACCTCACCTTGTAGCCGCTACTAAATTCGAGCACCGTGGAGCTGGAGGATGAGGCCGCCCTGTCCTCAGGGGTGACTGAGGAGTCAGGGAGCTTGGGAACCAGGTGGCCCTTCTGGAGGTCCTCCACGCTCTGTCCTGGGATGCTCTCCCGGCTGAGGAACATGCTCCCACTTTGCTGTCACCTTCCCTGGGACAAAGCCAGTGAGAGATGATGCTTCAGGCTGGGGTCGCTCCTTGGTGGCATGCACCTGACTCTGGTTCTCCCCACAGCTTCTCCCTATTGTTGTCCTATTATGGCCTGGTCCTGGACCTGCAAAGCCTGGGCAGGAACCTCCTCCTCTTGCAGACCCTCTTTGGAGCGGTGGACTTCCTGGGCCGAGCCACAGCCGTCCTATTGCTCAGGTTCCTGGGCCGCGCCCACAGGACCCTGGGGGGCTTCTTTGCCCTGGCGGGGTTCTGCATCTCAGCCAATGCGCTGGTGCCACAAGGTGAGACAAGAGGCTGAGCAGGGAGGCCAGGGCAGAGTCCTGTCACCCAGCCACACCACGCCCTTCCACAACACTTCATTTTTCTCCTCTTGAGCCACAGCTACAGCACCCCAGTTCTGCCTGGCCTATGACTATCACAAAGCCCCTGACCATTTCCCAGAGGAGGAAACTGGGGTTCAGAGAAGTGAAGCAGTTGCCTGAATTACCCAGTGACACAGACAGCCAGGGTTTGGACCCGAGTGGGCAGAAAGGGCGCATGCGTGTGTGCGTGTGTGTGTGTGTGTGTGTGTGTGTGTGTGTGTGT